CTGAACTTGGATACATGAGGGATGGTAATTCCACACTTGTACTATTCTGTTACAATATTCCCTCTTCAGAGTGTAAGCATTTCCTAGGCTTTTGAAGCTCATTAGAACTTTGAAACACTCTGAATAAGAAAAGGCCTTGGAATCTGGAATCCGGATTTAGTGAAACACATGTATTGGATATTGAGATTGAATTAGGCTTCTCGGATCTAGCTGTGGGCTATGATGTATTTTGTTTACCTTCTTCCTTCTAATTTTGTAATAACCTTGTAAAAAGAACCCGGGGAGTATATTAGTAAAGGGTGTGGGAGGGGTTTACATTTGCTTGCATACGTTAAAGGTTAGATACCATGCCTATAGGATCAATATTGTTACTTAATTACTTAGATATCATGCTTATAGGATTCATGTTGTTATTTAATCATTTAGATATCATGCCTATAGGGTTTTTAATGTTTGAATTCGACCACTTAGATATCATGCCTATAGATTAATGCATAACACAGAATCCTGTCATATAGAAATCTTGCCTATAAGGTGTAATATTCAGTCATATTGCAATTCATTAGAAATCCTGCCTATAGGACTTAATATTCAAGCAAATCAGCTGCATATAGAAACCATGTCAATAGGGAATGCATAAGCGTAGGTAAAACTGTAGGATAACCAGGCCTGCCACCTATTTACCAACTCCGTAATAAGTTCTAAAATCCGGAATAAGTCCGCATCGCTTAATCTGTTAAGTAGTAATAACTGGATAACTGATTTTAACATTTCAGTGTCACGTTTTCAATACAAAATTCTTACGAGTTTGCAATTTTTTTTTAAAGGTTCTGCAAATCTGTCCGAAGCAATTCTTTAAAATTTTCTGCTCATCTCTTGAAGATATCTTTCAAAACAGTCTTTTAATTCACTCTCCCTTTTTAGGTATTTTATATTTTTACAACTCTCCTATATTTTCACTCAAACAAATCTGCAATTTCCAAAGTCATTTCTGAACTCCTGCAATTTTCAACTTCCTGTTTAAATTCTTATGCATTAGGCTTTTGTCTGAAATCAGTGCTTTCGAAATAATTCGTTTAAAATACTCCAATTCCTAACAATTGGATCCGAGTTGCCTAATGCAGACCTTGTATCTAATTCTATGTGTTAAACTGGTCCGTCTGCCGCTTAAGTTTTAATTTTAGGACCAAACTAGTATGTGTAAGGCATGCTAAACTAAGTGTTATCTGATTTACGGGGTTTTATGTGAGCCTTGCATGTTTGTTTGTCAATCCCCTTACTTGTTATTTGTTTTTGTTGTCGAAACTAGTATTTTGTCCTTTTAAACCGCATATATGCCTCTACCCCCTTTCTTTCCCTTTAGGATTAGAAGTCCTAATACCCCGGGACTGATAGGTTGGGATGAGTACTAGCATGCAATAAGTAAAACGAGACTAATCACGTTTAAATGCCTTAACGGGGTGGGAATGGTAGAATATGGATATGATGACTGGTGCGCTAATATCTTGTGTGAGAATGATTGCTGGGTATTGCACTAAAGTGATCCATATTATATTTAAACCTAGGACCCCTTTTCTCCTTCTTTAGTTATTGATGTTTTCTTAAATTAATGTTTTCTTCAACTAAGCTTTCTCTTTTCAAAATCACTTGTGTCTTTCTTCTTTCAAAATTTTTCAACTTGTTTATACTTCCTATGTGCAAACTTTGCTTGTTTATTCCTACTCTTCTTAAAGTCACAACTAAGCACGGCCGGGAACCACACTAGTGGATCTTGAGGGGTGTCTAACACCTTCCCATCGAGATAATCTCAAGCCCTTACCCGAACTCTGGTATTCCTTCAAAATCTTCTTCTTTTCTTTAAGTCTCCTAATGCACTATAATCATTAGGTGGCGACTCTTCAAAATCCATAACCCGATTCCNGGGGAGGGGGCGTCGACAGCATGGCGACTCTGCTGGGGAAACCTTTAAGGCTTTTACCATTATGTGCTTTTGTGACTTTATTGTTTCCTTAATTGCATTTACTTTCTGTCTTTAATTATTTCATCAAAAGTACTAACTTGGCTCTTCATGTTTTCCTTTTTAATTTCTTATTTTACTGCCTTATTATTTCAATTATGTTGTAATTTCCGAGCATTTATTGTAATCTTTACTTTATGAACGTGAAAATACATGCAATTTGTTTCATTATTGTAACTGCATTCCTCAACATCATATTCCACTCATGCCAAAACAAATCCTATAGCTACGCTTATAATGAGTGGTTGCGCCCTTCCGATATCATAACCCCTAAATGTGGAAAAGGCATATTTTCGGTAAAACCAGTCGATCAACGGTGTAGTCGACGGTTCCGCGCCTTTCCCTCTTGAGTTGTCCGCTCAAGGGTACCTTGTCTAGCACTTCAAAGTAGAAACCTTACTCTATTAAACTGTTCATGCATCATGGTCAAACTTAGCCGAGTCAGTTATGTTGTCCGCATAATGACTCATTAAGATAGCCTAAACCAAAGTCCATCGGGTTTCTTCGAAACCCAAACGGATACCTCCACGTTATGTGCATTTATTTGGAGAACTAAATGTCCTTTTGCTAATTATTGATTTAAATAGTCGAGTCTGATGGGGTTAAGGGCTTAACACTTTTTTTTGCAGAAAATGAGGCACGAAGTCCCCAGTTTCGGTATGGTATCCAACATTCACCCAAGGCTGCTAAGCTGGTGGGAGGATCTTCATGTCAGCGATCAAACCCTCGTCCTCAAGTACTTAGGGAATTTGCCCTCACTTCTGGAAATCCAGCCTAACAACAAAATCATAGAGGCTGCAACTCTGTTCTGGGATAGTGATCGATCGGTGTTTCGCTTCGGGGATTTGGAAATGACTCCTTTACTGGAAGAAATAGAGGGTCTAGCTGGTATCCCTTGGGAGACTCCGGGTCTGCTTATGCCGGAAAACCACAAAAGTAGAGGCTTTCTTAAGATGATGGGACTCAAGAAAAATCCCGACCTAGCTTGTCTGAAGGACTCCTACATACCATTTGATTTCTTGTACGAGAGGTATGGCCATAGCAAGTCCTATCGCACCTACACTAACGAGTTCGCCCTCACCTCTTTAGGCCATATACACAGAAGGGTATTTGTGTTCATGTTCTGTTTCCTGGGTATGATGGTCTTTCCTATGAAAAAGGCTAGGATCCACACCAGACTAGCCATAGTGACCAAGACTTTAATGGAAGGGATCGACGGGTAGTCTTTCAGCATAGTGCCCATGATTATCGCTGAAATCTATCGAGCCTTGGGAAATGTCAACAAGGGGTTCCGCACTTCGAGGGTTGTAATCTGTTACTGCAACTTTAGCTCATAGAACACCTTCAGAAAGGAGACTACAGACAGGAAATCATACGCAGAGATTGGGATGACCATATCGCTTTTCACCACCCAAAGCGAATGAACTTCATGCCCAATATGTTTGCTCAGCCGGAGGACGCCAGTGGATGGGTAGAGTTGTTTGAGAATCTAAAAGAAGAGCAAGTTCAGTGGATGTTCGAGTGGTTCCCAACAGGGGAGTTCATTGTCCGTTCTCGAGATGCACCATTCATCATACTCATCGGTCTGAGGGGAACTCATCCTTATGTCCCTCTCCGGGCCATGAGGCAAGCCGGAAGGAAACAGATCATACCAAGGATAGAGAAAATGAGTCATTCAGGGCTGACTTTCAAGATGATGATAGCCCGCACAGGTGTCAAGCACAACACATGTGGCACTGCAAGTTCGTCTTAGGGAAGGAATCTATTGAACCAGATAGGTATCATGCCGGGTGTGTACCGCACTACACAGGTTGGTTGGAAGATGATCACATTGGTTTGGGTCGTCCAGGATTTGTCCATGGTCATAGGATTATTGATGAGAAAACTGAAGTGCAAGTCAAATACAATCAGCTATGCAAGAGGATGCGAGAATGTGGGAATGAACATCGGGAAATACAGGAAGCCCACGAGAAGCTGATCAACGAGTGGAAGGATATGGCTGTCAATGCCAACAATCGGCTGGGGTATCTAGAGCGAGGTCTAGTGGAGTTGGAAGAGAAGTTCTTGAAGAGAATTGATGATTGTCATAATGTCGAGGGAAGTGCAGGCGGACATCAGGCCCGAGCCTATCTGCTGTTAGAACTGCGCGAGTTGATGCAGCTGTACGAGGGAGGCAAGATTACCGAATGTGGGGAAGGTCATTCTGGAACCAAGTAGTTAGGATCCTTTATTTCCTGCTTTCATAATGTAATAAGGCCACTGGCCATTAGTGATATTTTTACTATGCAGTTGTTTTAAGACTCGTCTTATTTTTATCAAGAAAATGAGGCATTTAGCATTATAAGTTCTCCAAATTTAACTTGTCGCTAGTCCTACCTCGGGCACAACGAGGCACCCAAAGTAGGAAACGACTTATACTATTGCACAACGTGTTTAAATATTGCAATATTATTTCTCAGAACCCACACTAACTTTTTACCTTTTGTTTTTCTTTTATTCCCCTCCCTAAAGGTTAGTTCGTGCATTCTGGCACCGTCAGCATACTCAACAAGATCCAAGGGTCCTCCTCCTCCTCCTCCTCCTCCGAGTCCTACCAGAAACAGGAACAAAGGCAAAATGGGAGATGCAAGCGCTAGAAAGGAACTTGAGGAAACTTCTCAGAACGCTGCAATTACCAAGGAGACTGCTGCTCATATTGAGCAGACTTTGCTGAGATTTCGGGAGGAATTGGACCAAGTTCGAAACCTGGCAAACATGTCAATTACTCTTGCCGCTCCTGATGTTAACGCCCAGAACCCCATACCTCCATAAAATACCCCGCAACCACCAATACAACGCACTCATACCCAAGCCTGCAACACATGCAACAACACTCCACTACTCATTCCCGAACCGCAAAATACCACAAAAGACCATAACACTCCCATATTTGTGGACACTATACCCCACTACACTCAGCCAATCACAAGCGCACCCGAATCAGATGACATGGGCTCCCTCATTCAGAATTTTGGCCGCTGAACTCAAGAAGTTAACTAGCCGGGTCCAAGGTGTCGAAGGTAGCAAAGGTGTTGAAGGGTTAAACTATGAAGATCTTTGTGTTCAGCCAAATGTTGAGCTTCCGAAAGGGTACAAACCTCCCAAGTTCGAGACGTTCGATGATACAGGTGATCCTAGGGTCCATCTGAGAATGTATTATGATAAGCTGGTAGGAGTTGGAAGGGACGAGAAAATCTGCATGAAGTTGTTCATGAGGAGTCTAAAAGGCGATGCCTTATCATGGTACATCAGCCAAGATGCAAAGAAATGGACAAGTTGGGTGAACATGGCGTCTGACTTTATAAACCGATTTAGGTTCAACACTGAGAACGCACCAGCTGTGTTCTATATCCAGAATCTAAAGAAGAAACCCATAGAGACCTTTCACGAGTATGCTATTCGTTGGAGGTCAGAAGCTGCTAAGGTCAGGCCAGCCTTGGAGGAAGAGCAGATGAACAGGTTCTTTGTCCGAGCTAAGGATCCGCAATGCTATGAAAGGCTGATGCTAATAAAGGGTCAAAAGGTCTCTGACATCATCAAGTTGGGAGAAAGGATCGAAGAAGGCATAAAAAATGGTATGGTCACTAACCTTGAGGTATTGCAAGCTACCAATAAGGCTTTACAGTCTAGTGGTTCGTCAAAGAAAAAGGACGTAAATTCCGTAATGGCTGCGCAAAGGAACAATTCCCCTATGATGTACCAAACCTATCCCTCAACTCCACTCACATATCAACCTACCATAAATTACCAAGCACCCTCACCAACATACCAAATGCCACCATCTGCTTACCAATCACCTCCACCGCCCACATATCAACCCACTTCACCAAGATATTCCCAACCCGCACCTGTGTACCAAGCATACAACTCCCAACCTTCTCATTACCCATCACCACCCACTCGCCAAAACTTTCCTCGACCCAGACCAAAATTCGATCGAAGACCTCCCAGACAGTATACCGCCATAGCCGAGCCAATTGACCAATTATATGAAAAACTCAAAGCAGCCGGTTACGTCTCACCTATCCCAGCCATAACTCCAGAAAATCCTTCCCAATGGATCAATCCCAGCAAAACCTGCGCATACCATTCCGGAATGAAAGGTTATACCATCGGCGAGTGTCGCTCGTTGAAAGACAAGATTCAGATTCTGATCGATAACAAGGTCATTGTAGCAAAGGAGCCCGCTCCCAATGTCCACAACAACCCTCTGCCTGACCACAAGGGTGGGGGCATCCATATGATCGAGATTGAGGATGATTGGGACCCCAAGGGGTCAATCGGGTTGATAGCTGAAGGAGATGAACCTAAAAAATCGGCGGTTACCCTCAATCCCATTGTTGTTCAAATCCAGCCCTCTGAGGGCGATGTGGTAAATGTGTCTGCACCACTCGAGTTCGAAGTGCCTCCTGCAAAGGCGCCAAAACCAATCGAAGTTGAGTTTGGCATCCCAAAAGCACCTGCACCATTTGAAGTTACTGTGTTACCTTCCAGGATGCCCATTCCGGTTTCCATGACATATGTGACCCCGTTCAAGTTGGATGCCATACCTTGGGACTACACAGCTGAGGCTAGAAGGAAAGGGAAAACACTTACTGTAGAAGCAATCGCCACGCAGGGCATGACCAGGACAGGCAGGGTATACACTCTAGAACATTTAGCTGAGTCCAGCAAGCAAGCCTTTGGACGAGCTGTTGAAACTGGACCCGATGACCTTTGGAGAAAGATACAAGCCAAAGAGTACTCAGTCGTTGAGCAAATGAGCAAAACACCAGCACAGATTCCATCTTGGCTCTTCTGCAAAGCTCTAAGGCACATAAAAACACCTTAATGAAAATATTGAGTGAAGCTTATATTCCCAGCAACATAACAGGAGGCGAAATGGTGATTATGGTGGGACAGGTGCTGGAAAGCCATAAGATCACCTTCCACGAGGATGAGTTACCACCAGAAGGGCTTAGTCACAACAAGGCGTTGCACATCACTGCGCAATGCGAAGATTATTTCATCACCAGGATCTTGGTTGACGGGGGATCCAGCCTTAACATTTTCCCGCTAATAACCCTCTGGACATTGGGTAAAGGACTGCATGAGATCAAAGACGGAGCTATCAGTGCTAAAGCTTTTGATGGATCTCAAAGATCCACCATCGGAGAAATTAGCATGTGCCTACAGATGGGACACACCTGGTTCGATGTGGACTTTTAAGTTATTGACGAGCCAGCATCCTACAACTTATTGCTGGGGCGACCCTGGATTCATGCCGCTGGGGCTGTGGCATCAACCCTGCATCAAGCTGTAAAGTTCGAATGGAATCATCTAGAAGTGATCATTCATGGCGATGGTAGCAACCCTATATACAGTCGCCAAACCATCCCGATAATCGGAAGTAGAAGGAAAATAGGTGGAGAAACATACCATCACATCGAGCGAGTCAACGCCATAGACAAAGACAAGTGGTGGGATAACAAAATTGAGAGCATTCTGAATTGGAATAGGTACGAGCCCGGAAAGGGACATGGCAAGAATCTCCAGGGCATCACCAAGCCCATCAAGTTGAAGAAGCATGACACCACTTTCGTCCTGGGGTATGAGTACACCTGGGAGGAGTTCAACCATTGGTCTCCACCATGGCGCAGTCCCTACTACACATTGGAACATCCCATACCTCAGCTAGAGCAGACCTTTCATCCGGCCGACGTTATATATGGATCAGAGGAAGATGAGGCACTGGCCACAATGAAGAACCTATTTCTGGAGGATGATATGGGTTGTTGTGTTATCTTCGAGGAGGAAGGGGAGGAAGGCCCTTCCGTTCAAGCTGTGAACCGAGGGGAACGTCGCACTAATTGGTCAGTCAGGACCACCAGTGCCCGGAGAGCTTCAGGGTAGCAAGGCTAAACGACGCACTATGCATCGTATTTTACTTTTAGTTGATTTTACTTTACCGCATTGTCTTTATTTTTGAAAAGAGCTCCGATGTTTCGAACAGTTATGAATTTAATCAAAAGCATTTTCCAAGTTTATTTTTGTATCTCGCTCTTATTACTTTTCTCTATCATTTATTTTACACAGCATTACTATTACATATCTTGATGATGAACCAACGACTGTGACTTGCAACGAGGCAATGCAACAAACAGACATAGATTCAGAAGAGGACGAAATACTAGAAGAGGTTGTCAGGGAAGTCGAGAATTTTAAGAACAGACCTAAGTCTAATTTAGACGAAACTGAGGTTGTTAATTTGGGAGACGCATATGACGTTAAGGAGACGCGTATCAGCGTGCATTTGTCGCCATCAGAAAAGAAAGAGTACACCGAGTTCCTAATGGAGTATGAGGATATCTTCGCATGGTCTTATGACGACATGACAGGTCTCAGCACATCCATTGTGGCTCACAAGTTACCGACAGATCCGGCATGCCCGCCAGTGAAACAGAAGCTCAGAAAATTCAAGCCAGACATGAGTCTGAAAATCAAAGAAGAGGTTACCAAGCAAGACAAAGCCAGGGTTCTCAGAGTGGTAGAGTACCCGACATGGTTAGCCAACATCGTGCCAGTGCCAAAGAAAGATGGGAAAGTTAGAGTCTGTGTCGACTACCGGGATCTCAACCGGGCCAGTCCTAAGGACGACTTCCCTTTGCCAAATATACACATATTGATTGACAACTACGCCAAATATGAGCTATAGTCATTCGTCGATTGTTTTGCTGGATACCATCAGATATGGATGGACGAAGAAGATGCGGAGAAAATGACGTTCATCACGCCGTGGGGGATGTACTGTTACAGAATGATGCCGTTCGGCTTGAAGAATGTTGATGCTACCTACATGAGGGCCATGACCACTATCTTTCATGACATGATACATAAAGAAATCGAGGTGTATATGGATGATGTCATCATCAAGTCCAAGAAAGCTACAGATCACATGGAAGATTTGAGGAAGTTCTTCAATAGATTGAGGAGGTACAACTTGAAACTGAATCCCGCGAAGTGTGCATTTGGGGTTTCTACCGGAAAGTTACTGGGTTTCATTGTGAGTCACCGAGGAATAGATTTGGATCCATCAAAAGTCAAGTCCATTCAAGAATTGTCGTCGCCAAAGAGCAAGAAAGATGTGATGAGTTTTCTGGGGAGTCTCAACTATATCAGCCGATTCATAACCCAGTCCACTATTATTTGTGAACCTATCTTTAAGATGCTAAAGAAGGATGCTGCCACTAAATGGATTGACGACTGTCAAAAGGCTTTTGACAGAATCAAGGAATACTTGTCTACGCCGCCAGTCTTGGTTCCGCCTGAACCAGGGAGACCCCTATTGCTTTATCTCGCAGTTTGGATGGAGCGTTTGCTTTTGTCTTAGGACAACATTGTCACACCTCCTTTTTACCGCCCCACGAAGGGGTGAAGGAGTTTTTTCCACTTAAAGGACAATCAAATGGGATTTGTTTATTTATTTCAGAGTCGCCACTTGAGAGATTTAGGGTGTCCCAAGTCACCGGTTTTAATCCCGAATCGAGGAAAAGAATGACTCTAAATTACAGTCTGCGTACCAGAAATCTGGACAAGGAATTTTGTTAACCCAGGAGAAGGTGTTAGGCATTCCCGAGTTCCGTGGTTCTAGCATGGTCGCTCAACTGTTATATTCAGCTTATTTATCTGATTTTAACAATTATGTACTCAGTGCGAATTATGACCTTTTTTACCGTTTTTATTACTATTATTGTTATTTTCAGCAAAGAATTGCAACGTCGTGAAAACGTATCTCGGACCTCGACACAATCAATGTACCCGTGGTCATAGATACGTTTCGACTCCGTTGAGATTTAGATTTGGGTTGCATAAATGCACACCCGTACTTAAAGAAGTAATTTTATTAAAGACGCTCCCTAAGTGACTAGCGTAGTGTTATTTTGGGCAAGGCTATGAAATTTTGCTAAACGGTCCGTCCCGGAGTCTGAGCAACTTTACAAACACGTATAGAGGGCCCCGCAGCTTGTGATTTACTTGGCCAGGCACGCCTCATTTTTGTTTTAAAAGGATATCCTAAAGCGACTATGTTTTTCTATTTTTCCGTTTTTTGTCCGTCTCTAAAAATGAAAGAAGAAAATGTCCTACTTTATTTGCATGCTTACGAGTTAATTATAGTTGGGTTCCGAATATGATTCGTAAAATCTGAAAATGATGCAATCAGGGCAGTCCGTTGCCAACGCGGGCCCAGGCCCAACGTGTATGGTACAAAACTGGACCTGGGCCATCTCATTCACATGTTACTACCTAGTTACATTATACTACACATGCTCACAGTTTGCCAAATTAAAGAACTTGGCAATCTAATTTTAATCCTAAACCATTTACATGCTGAAATTAACCAATAGTATCTAGCTAAACAATATTCCTACAAGTTCCGAAACGGGCTATTTGTTTAATGAGCTAACTGTTGAATGTTTAAGAATAGTCTAAATCAGCTAACATGCTTTTTGAGACATGATAATCATCAAACAATAACGAACTAACTGAACAGAGCTACTACACCATTAGTCTTTTTAACTAGCATACATAGATAGTTCGTCCACTAAGCTACTATCAGATGTTCCATTATATATATCAAACAACTACATGATTCTAATTAGAGGAAGCTATATAATGTACATATACAACTATAATTCAGAATATAACTAAGATAAATTCAGAACTTCAACTCTTCATTTCATATTCATGCTTCAGTTTCCATTTTACAAGAACTAGTGTATCAATTTGTGTACCTAGTATTTGGAAAGCAAAGAAGAGGAAGATCAGTAGAAGCAGCAGTAGCACACACACACCAACACAGCAGGTTCAGCAACACAGCAAAACCAGTAATAACAGTAGCAGAAATCCCAGGAGCAGATTAAAAAACAAGAGAAGAACCTAGTAGCTCAATAAAACAGTGCTTGAAAACCAATAGAAATCCCAAGAAATACCAAATTCAAACCAAGCAGTACCACAAAGCAATTACAATCAAAGCAGAAAAGAGCCAGATGTAAGAAAACTGTGGCTTTCTGATCGTGAACCCTCAAAGAAGAAAACAAACTGAAGCTCTTTGATGTAAAGCTTAGCCTTAAACACTCACTCTATCACTGACTTAGCAAGATAATAGCACAACCTATATGCACTCTATTTCTCTAGAGTTTTAGGTTAAATTTCCAGCCTCAACACTCTTGTTTTTCTTTGGCTTATGAGGATCAAAGAACCATCCTTAACACTTAAACTATTTTCTGGACTTTTTTTTTCTTCCTTTAGTATTTTTCAGAAGATGTTTTTCAGTCTTCTCTCTGTCATCCTCCCTTTTCTCTACAGACCTCATCCCCCTATTATACAAGTCTGCCTTTCTTCCAAACCTACTGCCCGACCCTTTTTTCCCCACTAAATATGAAATTTTCCACTTAAAATCCACTAAGGAAAACTTTTCCTTATTTTCAGCCCCCCATTCCCTTTTGTTCCCCATTAACAAATTAATTAATATCCCACTAACAAAACACTAACACTAAAATATTATCCTAACTGTTTCATTCCTAAATCACCCCGGAAACCTTACTGTTATCACTTCATTACCCTAAACTTTACAAGTCTGAAGTTACATTTATGTAAGTTCAAACCTGAAACTCATTTGGTTAAACACCTAAATAACTACAGCTATATCCAATTCACAATCCTATTCAGACACAAAGATTTAGGGCAGAAGAACCGAAGAAAATCGAAATGGTATTAATCAGGGCAATGATAAACGAGTAATCTGGTTAAAATAAACAAAACTGAAAACGACATGTACAATTCATTACACAT